TAATCAAAGTTTCTTAATTTTGTCACTCACTGACTGACCGATCATCAAAACTCTAAGGCACTTCTAGCAGACATAGAAGCTTCAAATTTGGAATACAATTATTGTTTAGTATCTAAACAATAGTAAATCAAGGGTAAACATTGAAATATTTTGCAATTTCGGTCCAGTTTTCGAGATACACCAACTGCATAAAGAACTTTGTAATCCCATATAAATATATAGGATATCAACTCAGTTCTTCTACCGTAAAAAGTTGCGAGATCCATGTAATACCAAGTCGGTTAATTTATTCAGTCCCTACTTAAGGGTCCTTCTGTCTTAAGTTATTACGTAATTAGCTAACCTAACAACATTTTATAGTGACCTGATATTAAAAATCTTTTATGTTTTAAATAGATTGACTAAAATTCTGACTTATGAGTTAGTCTAATATTTGACTATTTTACTTATGGTTAGTAAAATATTTTCTACTATCATTAATATTTTTATCCCATGGCAATTGAGAAAAAGAGGTAAACGGCCTCTGTTCTAACATAGCTTCTCTAATATCTAGCTAATCTAGCTTGCTACATACGTAGATTGAGGATTGACTAGATAAAGCATTCGCGTATGCTTTTGAGATAGAAATAGGCGCGAGGTACTTTCACTGGGTTACCAGATATTGTTCCATTTCCCCCGTTATGGGTTTATTTATATTCACAGCACTTACATTCATACAAAAAACTTAATTGTTACCATAAAAAAATGTTATTTTATAATTCAGGTGATTAATTCATTTCTCTTGAAAATACATTCTGTGACTAAAAACTACGGGCGGAAACGGCGTAAAAACAGAATCATCATTCTGTATTCAACGGCGAAACGACGATTTTACTGGACATTCAATAAACTCTTTGGATTTCGACGGCACTAAGTGAAGACGCTACTATCACAAAGTGTGATATTGCTAATAAATAACAATATGTTATGTATATACTTAAATATTAATTAAGGATAAAAATATTAAATAATAAACAAAAATTTCCTCGTGTCGAGTTTTGTTTTTACAAAAAAAAATCAATAATGTTTTAACATACCATTCCATCACAAGGTTAGTGCTGAGCACAGACCTCCCGAAAGGAAAGGCTGTCCACTTAGGTTTTGTAGTACAAAACACGGTAAAGAGGCTACTCCCTCGATTTCTTGCATGTTTTGCTAAGTTAGTGTCTTGTGTGCGGCAAGTTGTGGCGTACAAGAGAATTTGTCTGTATACGGAATGATATTACCCCGCGTCGTAAGCAATAATGCAAGATGGGGATGGGGCAGCAGCACTTTCCCGATGAAAACTTAAAATAATAAATAACTGCGGTGGCCAACCAGCATAACGCATATTTTCACGCAGGCGTGGCAACTATGGTAAAAGTCATCGTATGAGTATATCTAGGGAAGGCCTTTTTAGGTGACTTATGGTTAGGTGGCTTAATCATGTTACCTAATGGTTAAGGTGGTAAAATGTTTTAGTTAATATACGTTGTAAAGCATCAACAAAGGGTTTGTTTTTGTAATATGTTAGTATATAAAATAAACACGAATGTTTTATAATATTCTATTTTAATTTACCATGCAGTGTAAGATTATCTGCTACCTCATATCATTCCATGGGTGGTGTATGAGGCGACATAGGGAAACATCAAAGAAGATAAACAGCAGCATCTTCCTGATAACAGCTAAATAAAAAAAAACAGTGGTTGACAACCCGCTTTCCAAGCGTTGAAACTAAGTCAAATAACTATAATCATGTTTATGTTCAACAGTAGACTTTTGATAGACTGTAAAGATATATATTCTATTCAAATGAAGAAATATAAAAAGGAAAAAGAACTAAATTTTGTGTACTTACACAACATTAAGAAATATTAACAATGTTACATTAAATAAAACAAATTAAAACACATATTAAATATAATTCAATAACATTAAAATAAACATACGATTATTTATAAATTTTTCATCACATTAATAAACAAATTTAACAAAATTTTTGTCTTCTTTCTAGAGCTTTCCCTGTAATTCTTGGTTTGAGTAGCTTTAGACTTTCTCAAAAATATGCATTTGTAAACTTGATTTATACTTTACATGGCAGAAATTCTGCCATGTAAAGTATAAATGGTGCTGGTTGTTAGAATCGGATTAGAAGGGTATATATATATATATATATATATATATATATATATATATATATATATATATATATATATATATATATATATATATATATATAAAATACATTTTAATGGTATAAATAATAAGGTACAACTCCTAAATTATACTTAGATAGGTAATACTTATCTCTTGTGAAAAAGATCTTTATTACATTATTTATGACAATTAAATAGAAATTATCATAATTATTACATTTATTTCTTAATTTATTTACACATTATTGTTTATAAAACCTTTATAAAAGGGATTAAGGGTGGACTAAATGTCCCATTGGTAGGCATTCCCAGTCAGTTTTACAATTATTATTGCATAATAAATTATTCATTTGTATATTTAGGTCAGGACTTTAAATTATTTATTTATTTCTTTTATTTAAATCTTTATTTGCATAAAACATGGTAGTACAGATAAAGTTCCAACATTTGTAGATGAGAACTCATGTTTAATCAATCCATCTTTAAGTAAATATTATGTCATTGTCATGCAACCAAATTATTACAACTCTTAATAATACAGAATGTCAGCATTTGAAAATAAAATAAGCAATGCTAGTCAGTTTTTAATACATACAGAACAATGTCAAAAATCATAACAACTACGAAGGTCAAACTTATATCACTTATGGAGAAACAACAAGATACAACAAGAAATTATAACATTTAAAAAAATATCTTAATTATATTATAAATTACATAAGTTAAGTATATTTAGTCCACCTAAAACAATGAGGCTCATAATGTTTTATAGCATATACTGCTAAGTTTTGTTGGTTACCTATAATTACTACCAGTAGCGAATATCCAACAGTTATGGATAGCTGATTCCTTAGAAAAGCTGTGAAATAATATATTTAAAGAAATTAATATATTAAATATGTAGTACAGTTTTATATCAAGGCATTTAACAAAAAAAAATCAAGTATGGGTATCTGTGCATAAATACAATACCTATAACAATTAATACAATATCAATTGATTTAATTAAATAGCAAGTATATGTAAATGTAATGATAATATCACTCATACTAAACATTTAAAAAAATTATGTACATATTAAGCTTTAGATATTGTTAATTAATACATTTACAGCCTAACATAGTTATGTCCTCCACAGCTGAACATAGGCCTCCCACACAGTTTGTCTCCAAATAACTGCAGTTGCCAATTCTCCTGCCAAGCTAGGCAACTATCACAAAAACTATAACTTTGACTTTTGATACCGACTAATGGTAACGGTAAGTATATTATCATCAAATTTTTTCTACATCATTAATTGAGAATATTATCTTATGTTGTTGTGTTATTGTGTACCTTAAGATTAAGACTTATTTATTTATTTATTATTTTATCAATGTTTATATTTATTTTTATATTAGTATGACATATTTATTTATTTTTTAATAAATATTGTAATGTAATTGTTGCTAATGTATAATAGAATTAATGGAATGCAATAAAGTTTTGTGCATTCTGATTTCAGGCAATACATATTTTGTGAAATTAAATATACTTTGCCCAATGTTTATGTACTTGAAGCCAAACATGTTTTCAGGTTGATACTTACATAATATTATTTGTGACATCTATGTAATATGGAAAATGATTGAAGAGTTGTAGGGCAATAAGGAGTTTCCTTTAAAGCTGAACATAAAAGTGTATGTATATGTATAACATTATGTGATTCATATTTATGGACATAATTACTAATCACAATAACAATTATTAATGAACAATGCGAAAACATTATTGTACTCGCTGATATCCCTAAAGTTTCTATAATCCTACCAAATCAAAAAGTACACGTTTGTTATGACTTTAAGCTTTCGAATGACGGTTCAAATTAAGGAGCATTATCATGAAGAATTTACAATTTGGGAGTCCAAATATTTGACAAAATACATCACAAAGTTCATTAAACACATGAAATGTTACACTTTATATTCAAAACAATAGATATTAATCAGTACAAGTAGCAAATGTAAGCACAAAACAAACTTACCGATGAAAGGTTATATTATCAATTTTTCGTTGACTGATGCTGTTGCATCCTAAAATGCTACAACTTACCATCTTTTTAACCTTACCTAATAACTAAAACCCACAAACAACACTAAATTCAATTAGCTGTTTGCTTATAATATCAATATTATTCACAAGAGCTTGACATCGTTAATGTCAAACAAAGGAGGGAAAACAATCAAAAACGCATACCTAGAAAAAGACAAGAAATATAGATTTGCTTCTCCCTTACTCTTATGTCTAACTATATACGTGCATTCCTTTCACACGCTGATGACGTCACGGAATGTTTAATCTATAAGATACAAAGTCTATGGCTACATATATATTTATCTATGGTTCTAACCACTAACTATCTAATAGACAAAACGAGCCGAGAGAGATTTACATTATGGCAAGTCCTCTCATATTCTTTGGTCACTGAGATAGACAGACATAGTGACAGCCTATTGGTTGTCAGCCATATAGATTATTTTTTATTTATTTTAAAAGTGACAGTTGAATTAGGGTATTAGGTACACGGTATTACATTACACCACATACTAAGCATTACACCCATTTTTAAATACTATTTATGAATCCTATAGTGTAATAAAGCACCATAATTTTTATATAATTTTGTTAAAATCGAATAGTGCCATAAAAATTACTTTTATTCTATCGTTTTAAATTATTTTCGCGCGCAAACGCTAGCCCCCCATGCTGTTGAACTCGTGACGTCACTGCATTAGTAAATAAAGCAATTTTGCAAAGTAATAAGATATTTTTCGATGTTTAATAATGAGTTATGACCCTTATCATCCTTATCATTGGTGTATTGTGCCTGAATGCAAAAATACGAGCATAAGAACGCCGGGGAAGTTATGGATTCAAATTCCAAAAGATGTAAATATGAGAAATAGTTGGTTAAAACTAGCAAGAAGAGACCCGAAGACATTGTCTACAAAATCTATACTTTACTTCTGTGAAGATCACTTTGATGTAAGTATGACTTATATTTAACTATCGTTTAAACAAAACAAAACATCATGAGGTGATAGGTATTGCAAGTCAAATTTTGTAATAGATTAGGTTACCTTAGATATAACTAATAATTACTAATGATTTCAAATGTCATAAAGATAATTGCATGTTTTAGCTGGAAAATGACATGGAGAATTACACACGATATAAGATTATGGGTTCTGTAAAACGAATTCAAATGAAATCGAACTGCACGCCATCGAGATTCGATTGCCAGGTAGACAGAAAACGAAAGTCTACACCGAACAAATCTCTGCATTCCTTTATTAAACGGTCTACAATTGGGGAGATTGAAGAGACCATGGAAAAAGAGGAGAATCATGTTAAATAAAAAAGAATCAAAATGCATATGCGTCGAAGAATGCACCTGGGGAATGAAATGGAATATCTCATTTCGAGTAAATAATGAAAATACTGTTCATTACATTTTAAATGAAAGACAGTCAATACTAGAAGTATTATATATTTTTTTATTACATACCCTTATCATTTTAATAGGGGTTAGGTAATACATATTATATTAATTATTTTTTAACCTTTAGCGTTTGATGCATCTGCTGTCAGTGTTTATAAAATACTTTGCGGGGAGACATCTGATCAACTACTTCAATTAATTACTTTGTTGAATTGCGTACAGTTTTCATGGCCGTTCTAAATCGTAACACTGTGTAAACGAAAAAAAATAACCTCTGCAAATATTACGGACGTGCTGCAGTACCGTGGATCTTTCAAAAAAAAATACGGAAGGCATCATTATTTTGTACTCTGTAGGATGTTATAGGATTTTTGAGTGTAATTAATCTAAAGTCGTCCAGTGGAAAACATTAGCCCAGAAGACAAAGAGAGAGACAGCTTTTAGTACAGGGGTTGGAAATGTGCTTTGGCAATTTAATGTCATTCATTGGGACTTATATTACTTGGCAGAATGCTCCTCAACGTTTGAACGCTACATCGATAGTTTAGGTGGACCTTTCAGGAGATGATGTTATAATTATTGGAAATTGAAGAGTATCTGCAAAATAATTACTCCGAAATGAATATTTTCTCTGAAGCAGGGGTACAAAATACAAACTGATCTAAAAAAAAATCAAAGCTGTACATACAAGCTTTGCCTGTGCCAAAGAACAAAACTGAAATTGGATAATTTCTTGGATTATGCCCTTATTATATTGCAGGCGTTTCATTAAGAACTTTTCGGCATAACCAAAGGATCTACATCGGCTGGCGAGACATGCACGTTAGTTTGGGATGCAAACTGCAAACGTTCCTTTAACGATAATAGGCATACTTTTGACTAATCCTGATATTAAGCGTTATTAATGGTAAAACACGTTACGACTAGAAAATGCCTATTCACTGTTAAATAATAGTAAAATGTTATGGCAACAAAACAAAACTTTTTAATAAACTGTATGTATTTTTATTGATCTACAAATGATAATTAAGGTGTAACAAATTGAGTTAAAATTTATATTCATCTTTTAACTAATTCAAATACTTGAGAGTAGTCCCTTTTTTTAATGGCTGCAGGGTTAACGTCGAAGTCTACGAAAGCTATGCTCCTGTCGGCCGCAGCTATGAGTTTTGATGAACTAAAGTCCAAGCTATAAATTGGCGACGATTTCTTCTGCGTAAAATACATCTGAAAAAATGCGATGAAGGCATTTTTAATATCGAGCTTTTACATTTAGAATCGTATGTTTGGCCAGAAACATAACCTGATTAACTATATTCAACACTGCAATCACCAACCCGCTTGCCAAGTGTGTTAATCATTGCAAAACGAAAAATAAATATGTTAGTTAACATTGCTGTCACACTCTTTATTTTTGAACCCTGGTTTCAAAATCTTCCCACTCGTACTGCCACCAATACATACATTAATTCATCATTCATTACTGCCACAGACTGCCTCATCTTTGCCATAGTTGCTAGAGCGGGTAGGCAACCGAAGTTTTATAATTTTAGTTGTTATTAACAAGACGCCGCTGCCCATCGCCATGTTTTGTTACCTCCGCCGCCTCGTACCGACACCCACGGGACAATATGGGTTAGTGGATATTTTTATTTCATTTAAATTGTAGCTTATATCATATAGCTGAAGTCGATTTCTACTAACTGGAAGGTGTATATTTCAAAATGTAAATTTTGAAACTAAAGCGGATATTTTCGTTTTAAAACTTGATATCTTTTTCGATTAACCTGAGGATGTGTATTTCGAATATTATGTTAATTTTTAAATCCAAAATGATGGAATTAGTATCCTCAACATTTAAAATCTTATTACATTTTCCTTTTACTTTCATGAATCTTAACAAGGTTCCGTAATTCAGCGTAGTGTAATAGAGAAACTCAGTGCTCATAATCAATTCTGCTCACTGTACCTGTACATGTCTTGCAGGACGGCGTGCGTCGAACAGTACGCAACGGGAATACTCCGATGTACCAACAACAAGTGCATGGTTTCCATCCGATTTTACACAATACAATGATGACTGGAATGGATCCATGCTTTCATAAACCTAAAATGAACTTACAAATATAAACGGCAAAATATATCTATCATAGGGCATAAAATAAATAATTTAAAAAGTTTAAATATTCCTTACACAATAGAATTATGATGCATCAAAGTAAAAAAAGTAAAGTTAGTACAGCCTATACATGAGATGATGATGGTGATATGAGACAAGTGGTCACAGGCTTTTTCTAATATTTTATTCTTCAGACAAGTATGGTATCAATCAGCACTAAAAATTACATTTAACAATTTTATTGGTGACGCCGGAGATCGAACTCAGGGTGCCCGCGAACTGCGAAATTTTCGGCCCTTGACCTACCATGGTTCTTCTTTCTTTTTACTTGCATACAATAATATTTTTTCCGTCCGATGTAAGTGGCTACTGCGTTCCATAGACATCTGCATCCAATTTCAAACAAAGAAGGCTACAGTTGCCTTCTTTTCAGTCTATAGTTATACTGGCTCTTTATTCCTTTATTTTGCTCCTTTATTTGACGACAGTTATAGGTAAGTACCTGTCCAGACAGACTCATAGATGGAAAAGGTATACCTATAGTACTATATAGGCGCAACAACTCAACAATAATTTCACAACGAAAGCAACCCGGGTTCGATCTCCACTGGCACAAATGAAATTATTGATGGCGATTTTAATTTTTAAGTGCTGATTTACCAAGTGTTCGGTGGTGAAGAAAAAACATCGTGAGGAAAGGGGCATGTTTGAGAAATAAGAAAAAAAATGTTCGAAAACATGTGAAATTCGCTCATACGCATTTGGGCAGCGTGGCGGACGTATATAGGCTGTATCTAACTTTTTAACTTTATAAGTCAATAGATATTTAATATTTACCACGTTATTAGTTCGAATATCTAATAGCCGCAGATATCCTGAATGTGATACATAGGCTAAGGTATTCTGATTGTGCCATTGAATGTCTCTAACAGCAAACTTTCCATTTTTAGTTAAATCTACAGGCTCCTGAAGTTCAAAACTGAAATATTAAATTTCAAATATACAAATTAGTTTCATTTAATATATAAATTGTTTATAAGACGCAATGTATAATACTTCTATTGGCTCAATAATTCTTTAAATTCCACTCACATTTCACAATTCAGTACCAAAGGTTTATTGTTTCCAGTTAAGCCAATTGCTAATCTATCATTAGATTGACTTGTGGCTAAGCATCTCACACCTACATCTCCAGAAAGTGGTTTAACCTTTTTTTCTGAAAAATTAAAGTATTAATCTATCAGTCTATATATCAATAGCTGGGCACAGGACTCCATTTATTTCTAAGCAGTTTATGTGGAACAGGGAAGTCTGTTATGCTGCCTCAATGCATATTAGTGAGCTTCTAATGTTCTCCAAATAAATACCATGCAGGTTTCCTCACATTTTATATTTTATTTCACCAGGGAGCATGGAGTTAATTAGTATTTGAAATTAACAATTTTACTGGTATTAGTAGCGATCAAACTTAATTTGCTCTTTACTATGCAGTTTAAAGACCAGTGCTTATCTCTTGATCTATCACGGTTCCAGCAAATACTAATTGTTTGTAATATTCCTAGTACTCGTACACAGAAGTATTTAAGCCACATATAGACTGGAGTGACACTACATCAATGTTGTATTGTTAAATTAAGAGTTAATTGAAATTTATAGAATTACTGGAGATCTGGCTTTGCACGGGTGATTCCTGGATCTCGACAAAAGCGCCAACTACTGGGTCCAATTGCGTTTTTAAACCAACCAGACCCACTCAAATATAGGTAAAAAAAATCACCAAAATTGGTTAGCCATTTTTGGGATTATTGCGAGACTAACAGACAGCAAATGATATTTATATATAGCGATAATAGAGTTCTTTTCAATGGTTACAAAACCTATACCATAATAACCAAATATAATAACCAAAACCTAAAAAAATTTTTGGACAACATAATTTAAGGATCATAAAATTCCGCCGCCCATGAACAACTGCAACACCAGGGAAATCGCAGATGCGTTGCCGGCCTTTTAAAAAGGAGTAGGCTCTTTTCTTGAAGGTCCCTAAGTCGTAAATATTGGTCCGGAAAAATCGCTGGTGGTAATCGATTCCACAAGGAAGTTGTGCGAGGAAGAAAACTTCTAAATCGCACAGTGGTGGACCGCCAATCATCCAGATGGTATGGATGGTATCGCGAGTTTTGTCGCGATGTGCGATGGTGAAATTGGGCGGCTGGAATTAGTCCGAACAATTCCTCACGGCACTCCCCGTGATAGAAGCGATAAAATATGCAGAGATGCAACATCTCTACGCAGTGCCAATGAGTCAAGCCGATCGGAAAGAACTCGGTCGTCGATGATTCGAACCGCTCTGCGCTGGATGCGGTCAAGTGGAAGGAGCTGGCACTGGGGAGCCCCTGCCCAGAGATGGGAACAGTATTCCATGTGAGGCCAAACCTGCGCCTTGTAAAGTTGCAAGCGGTGTGCCGGCATGAAATACTGTCCCGCTCTGCTGAGCACGCCAAGCTTTTTAGAGGCCAATTTGGCCTTCTCTTCCAAGTGACCACGAAACTGCACGTCACTCGATATGTCGACACCAAGGATCCCGATATTGGCTGAGGCAACAAGGGAAGTGCCTTGAAACTGAGGAGATACAACAAAGGGGTTCTTTTTGTGGTAAACGCGCAAACTTGTGTCTTCTGGGGATTGAACTGGACTAGATTTAGTCGACCCCAGTCTGAGACTTTGTTCAACAAAGTCTCGACTTCAGACACATGTTTGTTCCGGCACTCGGCGACGATTTCCCGAGAAATATTGGCACGGCCGGTGTATAAAGCATCACCAGTGCTGTCGTCCGCATAGCAATGAATGTTACTGGTTTGCAACATATCATTGATATGCAGAAGAAACAGCGTTGGTGATAGCACGCAGCCTTGTGGAACACCAGCGTTAATGGACTTGTAATCGGAGCATGCACCGTCTACTACGACCTTGATGCTCCGATCTGCAAGAAAACTGGTGATCCAATTGCACAATTTCTCGGGAAGCCCATAGGAAGGGAGCTTCGAAAGAAGCGCTTTGTGCCAAACCCGATCGAAGGCCTTCGCTATGTCCAAACTAACGGCCAACGCCTCCCCCTTGGACTCCACTGCCTCCGCCCATCTATGAGTTAGGTAACCTAAAAGATCACCAGCTGCGCGACCTCGACGGAAACCGTACTGGCGGTCACTAATCAGCTGGTGATCCTCAAGGTACCGCATGAGCTGGCTGTTAATAATGGCTATTGATAATGATGAAGTCCAAATATTGAATAATAGCTGATAATGATATTTAATTTTCTTACACCATCAATCTCAAAAGGTGACAAATAAAAAGCTGAGAAAGACCTGGCTTCTGATAATTTGTGGTATAACATTTTATGTCCAGACCAGTGACATAGAAAAATAGAATGTTTCACTGACTTAAAATTACAATGAATAAACAAAAAAGAAAGTTAACTGGCACATGATCCCAGTGTATCTTCTTTGTCAGCCTGTTCTGCCATCTAATTTTTGTTTGAATTGGCTTTCTCTGCATCTCTTAATTTTGTATCTTGGAGTCTATTCTGTTACAATTTTTGACCATTTCTCTGATGCTTCTTGTAACATGTGGCCAATCCGGGCCAGTGACAAAGAGCAGGGTTAAATGTACATATAATAACTTGGTAGGTAAATCACTAATTTACCTACCAAGTTTGATGGTTATAGCAAATTTTTACTATAAAGAAAGAGGCTTGTGTCTACCAGTAGACTGTCCCAAGCTAACAATATAATAACAACTTACTGCAATTCATGTTTTGTATTTCTGAACATATAAATTCATCATTATTTTCCATAAAATTCCAAGACCACATACATAGTTCTGCACAGTTTTGGGAACCTGTTACCACACAAACATTTGTTTTGCTTTTGATTGCCTCAACAGCTGTTACTTCTACCTCACCATATTTATGACAGTCTTCAATGTGGCAAAGTAAAGATGGTCTCTTTTTGGTTCCATTTAGTTGAAACACACTGACGCATCCATCCCTAAAAATGAGATTATAAGAAGAAACAAAATTATTGAAAACAATAGTTTTATATTAAAGTATACATATATTATAGAAGATACCTGTTAGCACAGAGTAATAAAATATCATTTGTAATAAATCTTGATATATCATTAGTCCTTACATCATATCTTTTGATTGTTGGGACATCTAGAGCCCAAAGAGTTTTTCTACAGTTTGGTAATCCTCGTCGGTCTGTAGGGAAACAGAAAAGATCCGATCCAAGAGCCAGTAATAGAATTTCAGAATTATGAAATTTAAGCCAAGGCATGTAAAGTGTGTCATGATGGAGAACTATCTAGAACATAAATAAATTACTTTTAAATTTTATAAACAACCTTTTTGGCCTATCTAGACATTTTATAGAATTAAAAAATTAAACTGGATATCATAAATTTTATGTACTTTTTTGACATTTCTACCTTTTCATTTATTTACGAGTAAAGTTCACTAATTTTCACAAGCCTACACATAAATTATTGATTTAAGGAGCCTGTGGCCAATAGTGCACTGTAAATATGTATGAAACATTTACATTTCTAGTAACATAATTTATATATCATATACCTAGAGTTGCTTTTATAATAACATAATTTTTATTTATTTTAGATATTTAGTAAATATCCATAGTTAAAAACTAAAAATTACAAAAGCAGCACTAACAGATATAAACAGAATAATTCATTAAAAAAGACAAAAACTTTTATTGGTCTAAATTCCTCAAGTACTTAATTTCAAGGTCCTATAATTGGGCAAACAGCTTTGTAAATGTGAGACAAATCTTTATGTTATATTGCCGAAAAGCAGTCAGTGCTGGATTTTACAAAAAAAATCTGAAACACTACAATATTTAGCATGCTTGATGTATAATTTAAGATAAAGGTAATAAGATAAAATAAATGCTGTAAATATAATTGAATAGGTATGGAAAATTAAAAAACTAGGATGTTTATTAGCCATTCCTTTTTTTTAAATATTGTTATAGTAAATTATATCATTACCTGGTTTTTATATATGCCTTTGTGCCAATTATGTGAAATTAGACATCTCTTATACCAAGACTGACTTTCATAACTGAAAATGTTCATACTAGATATAGAAATGAAATGATTGAAAAAAAAAAACTATTGAAAACCTATTAACCTAATTTTAAAATTACCTGTTTATAGAATTTCGAATAATCAATTTATTCTGACCTATTTTTCTCCATATATGATTATTATTTATTATTACGTTTTTAAGGGTTTTACACGTGAGCATTAGATTACGAAGATCACGAGTACATAAAATACTGAATATGTTAACTAAGATATCAAATGGTAATTCTAACAAAGTTTTTCCATTCATTTTGTTGAAGAGATAATAATAAATTTTCATGTATTATGTTTCTGTTTCCACATATTGTTATTTTCTTTATTTAAAAAAGTCACTGAAATAAACGTACACGAAAATCAATAAGAATTGTGGGCGATTTCTCTTGGTTGAAATATTGTTGATGTTATATTTTTTGTCATAGCTTTGTGATTTTTGATAAAAAGTTTTGGTTTGTCTCGTTAGAGAATATCTAATAGTATATTCATTTTTTTAGTTATAGAATAGTAGTATAGATAAATGTAGTGATTTAAATAATCTTTAGCTTTTGAGTAATTTTTTTTTGATTCCTTTTCCTTGTTTCCTAATTCCTATTTCCTACACTATTTATATTTATATTATTTTTCTCCTTGCTCAGTCGCTGTCACTGTCAGGTGTCAACAGTCACATTTTTTATAACTGGCTTTACGGCTCTGGGTTCTAGCCTTTCTGAACCTAAAAACAGTCACATTACAGCATAGAGATATAAATTATACTTCTAAGTCAGTTCATTACAGACATTACCAACCACAAACTAATAAGAAGTGCTGCTATGCACCTTACGGTAGTGTTATGATGATTAATATTCATTGTTATGCGAAAAATCGGTAAAAATATTCAAATAATCGTCAAAAATATTCAAATAATTGAATCTTTGAATGGTTTAAATTTTTATTTATAATATATGAATCATGAATAAAATAATAAATTCATGAATAAAAACATATACGCATATACTGTTAGAAACCATGTTTGCGGCTATTTTACACGGGGCGAATATCCTACTGCGGTGATGTTGAAAGAGAATTTAGTAAATGCCAGCATGTACAATGACAGTAAAGAGTAATTGAGAACCATTTTATAACGCATGGGCTTCCAACACAATAAAAAATGATAAACGTAAAATAATTATGGAGGGATATGACAAAGTCTTGCTAAAATAACATTATTAAGAGAAATTAAAATATAACCAATTGGGACAACGTCATATTCGTTGATGAAACGTGGTTAAACCCCAACCACACTATGCCGCAAATATGTGCCTCATAATTTGCAATGTGGGGTCCGCGTGAGTAGGATTTATAGAAAATTGTTTGACTGATATGCTAAATCAGTCAAAGAGTACAAGAGAATACTACGAGGAAATGGATGCAGAAAAATTCAAAGAATGGTTTATAACCCTTTTACAAAATATTCATGCAAATAGTACAATAATAATGGATAACGCCTCGTACCATTCTGTCCAAATCGACAAAGAGCCAACCCAATCCAATAAGAAAGCAGATGTAGTGGCATAGCTGCAACACAAAGTAGTGGAAGCGGACATGAAATTATTGATAGCAGAGATAATACAGTTAGTAATGGAAGGTTTGCTGAAGAAAACATGTGCCCGTGTCACAAAGAATGATTGGGCAAAAGTGGTGGAGAAAACAAAGTAAATTATTATGGATGACTTTGAAAGAGACATTCATTTTGACTACATTATTGAAAATCAAATAATAATTAATCTAAACAACGACAGCCCAACTAGTTGTAGTAAAAGTGATTGAATAAATTTATTTTTAATCTAGTTCCGATCATAAATTTATCTATTACTAGCTGGTACCTGGCGCGTAGCTGCCGTAAAAGAAATAATGTGGAAATATCATTTTAAATTCAAAAACGTTATATTGTTACCACCTACTGTAAGTTAATTGTACTATGCCTATCACCTTTCTGCAAGTGCCAGCAATATATTGCCAAAGTTTTAGCGTAATCTGATGAACGATATGGCAGCGCATAAAATACGAACAAAAAAATTAATTTTTATATATTAGATTGGCTCTAGAAATAAGCAGGATCAATAAATAAGGAGAAACTTATACATTTTATGTTTTCATTATCCGTTTCTAATTTATTTTGGTACTACCTCTTCCCCGCGACTTCGCTGCGTGTTAGGGTTTTTATGTTTTTGCGCGAAACTCTAATAATTTTTCTAAAATAAAAGTAGCCTTAGTTACTCCTTATGAAATCAGCTATCTACTAGTGAAAGTTCCGTCAAAATCGGTTTAGCCGTTTCAGAGATTAGCCGGAACAAAAAGACAGACAGACAGACAAAAATTTAAAAAATTGTATTTTAGTTATAAGTACCGTATTTACTTTCATATGCATTGAGTAAAAGACTGTAATTTTGACATTACAAAAAGACACTTTAATTTTATTTATTTGTATAGATTAATCGAAACAGAACTCTAAATGATTACCAACTCTAAAGAATCGTTTCGATTTTTGTTAAGAATCCAATATAGTGACGTACTGATTTTTTGGTTGGAATGCTTAGTACAAAAAGACTGACATCTGTCAAAAGGTATTTCTTAAACGTCTTATACATGGTCCATTTTGCTATACGACCAAGGAAATTGTAAAATATAGGGAGTGCGCACTTCATACTAGAGAAACGTTCCTAAATCAGTGACATTGAAATGAATGAAAAGTACCGAGTTAAGCGTTCCATTTCTTTCTAATAGAGTGTCCATGATACAATATTTTGAGGATATTAATAGTATATACAGTATTACGGAAAACGATATGCGATTTTTTTTTAAATATGGAAAGTGCTGAATAATGTTATAATTAAACTCCGTTTAATATTTTGGTTACATGATTGCTTCGCTACAGTATCAAACCTTATGGAAACTAGTGGCGGCGTAACGTGGGCGGATTTCTATCAAGCACCCCCCCAAAATAAAACAAAAAATGCTATACATGCTAACGGGACTTTATTTTGCTAAAATATTTTAATATATTATCAAAATTTACTTTTTTGTCATTTTCGATAGATAAAATGGAAAGATTGGTTAGTCCCGCTTGGCTCATTGTGGACCTTAAGTTAGATTTTATTAACTTGAGTTTTGAAAAGCTTCCTTCACATGAAACTTAATAGTAAAAAAATCTTAGACACAGCGCTAGATTCGGAGCAGATTCAGAATAGCCCAATTTTACGAGAAAAGCTCCAATGAATTACATTGAACCGCTTCTTGGGAAGAAATGCTGGCAGCTTTCAAGTCGTAAAATATCCAAAATTATATATCCTGCAGAAAAATCATCGTAGAGTTTTGTAAGATTTTGAACAATTACACGAAGATCTTCATCTGGTGACGTTAGCAGAGTGTTAGGCTGGACAACACTAAATGTTACGAGAATATCATCCATTGCTCTGTAGCGATGGTCTAGTTCCTCGTAAAATCTGTCAAGACATTCTAAAATAGCTCTCTGCAGCTCCTCTGGCAATGTTAATCCAGCATATCGGGTCATTTCTCCTGGTAAACGTTTTCGAAAACTCATTCCTCTTCTTCCTTCAATCGAAATGTCCACGTTCTCACATTTTTTGTTACGTAGGAAATAGCTTTTTCCACCAGTTGAATACGTTGGCTTTGAAGAAAAATATTTTGGGCTTTGATTTTTATCACATACTTTTCCAGTGATAATCTAGATTATTATTATATTATTTTGTATTTACTTTTGTGTCTGACTAACTTCTTTTAGGATTTTACATCAAAAGAAAAGATAGCATAAAAAACTGAAGTCACACAAAGCTGGTAAGAGTGTAGATGCTGCTTCTCTTGTATCGACGTTTTCTCTGTTGGTGCTGGGATCATATATATCTTCGAGTGTTTATACTAGTTCTTTAAATTATTCTGCAGTGGTTTAACAGCGTCATGATGAGCAATTCATCTTGTCTCTGGGAGTCTTTTGACGGATATGCCTACACATTTCATTAAAGTTTCCCATTGACGTAAATGTATGAAAATAACCTGTAAACTCTTTCTACTGTTCTGAAAAAAAGTTAAATTTGAATTAATGCTCCCTAAGTGAGTGCACTCCACATAGATTTAGGGAATGATTAGCACAAGGCGTTTTCTTCGTGGTAGAGCCATGCTGCAGCTATATTAGTAGTATAGTTGTACACAAATGGGTCGGCTCGACTGGGAAAAGACCACGCACTAACAGAATACCAGCGTAAAATAGCAGCTCAACACTGATGTGTTTCGTATGGTGAGTGTAGAGAATTAGAGACCCTTTTTACTGGAAAAGGGGCATTCCATCTTAGTCCTCACGGGTGACAACGCATCTGCATTTTGATTCGCAAACGAGGATAGATGTAGATGTCTATGGGCCACAGCAACCACTTACCATCCGGTGGGCTGTGTGCTCGTTTGTCATCGTATACTATTAAAAAATATATATTCATTCATTTGACGACGTCAAATTTTAAAATAGTGCTGTCATCTATAGCGTTAATGCACTCCCTAGTTTTTAGGGAAAGAATATTCGTGTTTTAGTGGTTTTTTTTCGTGTTACTTAATAATATGCTTAATTGAAATACAATATGGAATATACCAACTATGATTAGCGATAAAAAATGTAAGATTATCATTCTAGCATACGTCTAAAATATTACTTTAAGTCAATAACTGTCTAAACGTTATTCCTGCCCACACCATGATTGTCTCGCCTTGGTATGAGTGAAGCGGTAAAGTTACCCCAACTAGTCGATGTTTGATTAAATTTTCTGTCATTTTTAACCGGTAAATAAATTTGATTTATAAGTACTTATATACATTTTTTTTTAAATAGTAGTAATGCTTATAAACATTACTAATATTCCCTTTAACCACTTCCGGTAAGCTTAAAATGCTTGTGTTAGAAGTGTTTCACGAAAGTAGTCGAATGGCGGATTGGAATCCACGACTTTTCGAGTTCACGGCCCGCACCCTGCCATTAAGCTACTGACACTTCAAATATAAAGTAAATAACAAATACATTTACATAAAATATGTAGTTATTTTTACTGAATAAGTTATTCCAAACCTACTTACGACTTAATAGGTATATCAACAAGTGGGATGCGGGAAGTAAAGACTGTGAGAACCTCCGAAGGAGGCGGAGTTATAGCCGAAATAAGAATTTTAAATTTTTTGGTTGCTAGGAGTGTAATGAGAACTTTTTGCCCCTTTTCAACCATGACCTCCATGACATTTTCTACATGATAGGCTATTCAAACTGACTAGGCCTAAAGTTCGAGTCACTCCCCAACTCATTACTAGTCTTTACTTCCAATTACTTCCAAATCAGAAATAGGCAGCTTTTATTAATAGTTACTTACATCAAAATGATCTTCACACACATATTTAGTGCGTTTAGGTCCAATTAAATTGCGGTTCATAGTTTACACCACTTTATCCTTGTTGTTATATTATTTGGTATACGAAAAAAAAATTATTGGGATTTTTAACTGTTATGCTTTGTGAATTTTTTTTTATAAATAGGAACAATACAATATTTGTAGGCATTTTTTTAACTTCTGCCATCGGGTAATGA